AACCTATAACACTCGGGATTAATATATATATCGAATTAGATTTATTCACAGCAAACGTAACTTTGGTTTACACCATGAGAGCTGGAATGAGAGTGACCTCTCGCGACAACGGTATTAATCATCCGCTCGAGGACGACCGAATTATTACGAATCGTCGCGAGGTATTATGGTAAGGTATTCGGTTGCTAAGCCAAGCCCGAAGACAATACATTGAAATAATCTGAAATGAATATATAAGTATCTTCGCTACCATCGGATGACTATCGACATCCAGCCCCAACCAAAAATACACTTGAAAAAAGTTCTCCCCTCCATCTGGTAGGATATGAAACGTGTACTCTATTACGAACTTTTGGAAACAGGTCAGGTAGTTACTTCAGATCGCTACATTCGGCAACTAAACAAATGGAGCAATGTACTTGATAAGAGGAGACCATTTACTGGGCAAGGGAGCCGAAAAGTCATGCTGCTCCATGATAACACTCGACCTCATGTTACTCGCGCGACTCTGAAAACCATGTTGAGCTTGGGCTGGGAGGTTGTCCCGCGCGCGGCTTATTCACTGGACTCGGCCCCTTCCGATTACCATCTGCTCCGGTCCATGCAGCACGCCTTAGAGGAAAGCCACTTCTAAACTCTAGACGATGTACGAAAAATCGTCGATAACTTTATCGCCTCAAAGCCTGCGAGTTTTTTTCTCGATGACATTTGCGTGTTGCCCGATCGATGGCGCAAGATCATTGAAAACGATGGACGATATTTCGAGGATTGATCTAGTATTTATATATTTTATAATGTGACATAATTTTTTATAAAAAAAGGGAAAAATTAAGTTATACACCTAATATTTCCTTCTTCCTATCTTCGTTTTGTATATTTAAATGGTTAATCCTCTCCCTTCCAGTTCCTCGTTGACTGTCTGCTCGCTCCATAGACCGACTGATGATTTTATCCTTACTGATATATCGCTATAGTATGATCTTGACAGCTTTTTCCATTTCCAGTTTACAATTCGAAAATATTGATTTATTGAATATACTACTTTAACTACTACATTGAATCCTAATTTCTTTTTTGTGCAGATCAATAATATAATTCAATGACACTATTGGCTTCCGGATGGATGCCGCGTTTGGTTTCAGCATTGCGCCGACGTTTCGCAAACCTTGCAGTCTACATCTTCAGGGCTATGAGCTGCGATTCTGAGCTTCGATGTCTAGGGGTTGTCCTTATATGTCTTCTTCTGTGATGGTGTGGGAAGGGGATTGCGAAGGGAAAAAAAAAAGGGGGGGGGGTCAGCCAATCGTATGTTTTTAATTGACCAGCTGATCATTCAAAAACATAATATTATATTAAAACTAATATAATTCAATTTGCGGCCTTTTAACTTTATATTACTTAGTGCACGTGTCATTAGCGCACCATAATCATTACAATAAGCATGAGGTTCAACAGATCGATGCAGAGTTATAAATTGCAAAATTCACTCCCTAGCCAGACTCATAATTATTTTATCTTCATAACATTTTTTACGGCCTTCGATCCCCCTTTTGGATCCCATTCGGCACCCTATCCAACCCGATACATAAGGTTGTGGATTCCCCACCGTATCGCGTTCACACTCCTAGAGAACATTGGAGTAGCATGGAAAATAATAGGAACCCCATGCCGGTACAGGCAGTTACTCTATTAGCACCCGCCCGCTCGCCGGAGCCCCAGGTTGAAAAATTCGATTCTACTTGGCATCGAACTCTCAAACTTCCCCACATTAGACTTGCGTCTAACCCACTAACCACCAACGTTGGTGTATCTGCATATCTTAGACCAGAAGTTGCTCAAATTTTTCTACAAAACTTGTAGAATTTATGTTCAAAACCATTTGAATTTATATTAAGAATTTATATTATGATCTGTGAATAGATTTGTCATAGTTGTATATGTAAAAAGTTGGAATTTAATCTGAGCCATGTATTGTTACTTATTACTAAGGCCGGAGACTTCATTTACGAAAACGGCTATTATCAGAAGTTGGCTCCAAATAGGTGATTCAAGTAAGCGACAAGTAGGGTTGGGAAGAAATTGAAACATTGATGTTGGAATTTGTCATAATTCATTGATTGGAGGGTTATTTTGTTGACGGAGTGAGGAAAAGCGTTTGAACGTGAATTGGGTGTTTTGAAGAGGGTCAATGGGAGATCTCGGTGATTTCTTAGGGTTAACTTACCAGGCGAGCTATCGGGTTCTTTCAAAAGGGGATTAATGGANCCCAGTATCAAATACCTCTCGCTCGCACCTATTGTATTCGCATCCGAATTCTTACCTGACGCGGATATAATATTCAATCTGGCGCTAACCGCCAAATACTCAACGAGTCAACCAACCGACTCATCATCTGTAAATACCGCATGCACGACAATGAACTAAATCTCTAGTTTTGCAAACTGTTGCCTCACGTAGTTGATTCGTTATCTTCCCGAACAACCACAACCTCGAATCCTA